AGCAACAGTAAACAAAAAGGGTCAAAGCAACATTTTTGTAAGCCCTACAGTGTTCAAGGGTGAGTTGTAGCGAAGTAGTTGTAGTTCGCTACTGTAGCGAACTACAATTTTCAAGTAGCCAGTAGTTTTTGACTACTTTTTTAAAACAGTAGTTGTAGTTATAGCGAACTACATTTTGCCTAAAAGTAGCCAAGTAGTTGACTACTTTTCAAACAGCGAATCGCTATTCGCTACTTTTTAGAATTGTTAGCAACTTGATAGAATTGCTTGAAATCGGTACTCAATAGTCAATTTGCACTCCTGAACACTGTAGTGCTTACAAAAACGTTGCTTTTTGTTCATTGTTGCTACTCGTAAGTCGATTTGTTATAGATTACATTACAGCCTGAGTTAGTAGATGCTCCAAATATAGTAAAACTAAAAAATATAGTGTAGCGAAATAGCGAAATAGTTCGCTACATTTTTTAAGCAGTAGCTGTAGTCAGTAGCGAACTACCTTTGTTCAAAAGTAGCAGTAGTTGTAGCCGACTACATATTTTTGAAGTAGCTGTAGTTATAGCGAACTACAAAAATTTTGTAGTCAACCCACCCTTGACAGTGTTCAGGAGTGCCACTTTTCATTGCGCTAAAATAATCTTTACTGTATAAAATAATCTTTTAAGCAAACCGTGTCTTATCATCATTCTATTCTATGAACGGTTGCTAACAATTTTAAAAAGTAGCGAATAGCGATTTGCTGTTTGAAAAGTAGTCAACTATTTGGCTACTTTTAGGCAAAATGTAGTTCGCTATAACTACAACTACTGTTTTAAAAAAGTAGTCAAAAACTACTGGCTACTTGAAAATTGTAGTTCGCTACAGTAGCGAACTACTACTACTTCGCTACTACCTCGCTACTACCCACCCTTGACTATGAGCCATATGGCAGGAATTGAACCTGTGGCCCTGCAAATCTGGTGCAGCACTCTGAGCTACAGAGTCCAGTTGTCGAACTCTAACCACAAGTTTTTGTATGTATATAGTGGGTAATGCCAGTGTATGAGTAAATGTAAACATTTTTGGGCGTCTTGCTTGATAGAACTAAAGTTGGTTAGAGTGCTGCACTGGTTCGATTCCTCCCTATAGTCGCATTCCCCGCGCCTGTTCCTAGTTAGGTTTAAATATATATAAATGTAGATATATCCATCTACAAAAGCCTTTCGAGATTGAAAATGCCCCAAAACTAAAAAAGCCTACTTTCTTCGGTAACAACATGACTCCAGTTACATCGTTAGATATTGAGTTCTGCGACTTCATCTTGTATTCCACCTACACGCGGGTAACAACATGACTCCAGTTACACCGATAGATATTGAGTTCTGCGACTCCTCATCTTGTATTCCACCTACTCGCGGGTAACAACATGACTCCAGTTACATCGTTAGATATTGAGTTCTGCGACTCCTCATCTTGTATTCCACCTACGCGCGGGTCAATGTAATTCGATGTATGGAAGCTGGGAGGTTTTGTTATGGCGAAATTCCGTCTAGAGAATATATACACATAATTTACCAGTTACTGTTAGTGTGTAATATACCCACTTTAATATCAGCCACGGAATTGGTACATGCGCTACAATCTACATATGAAGTTTTGGATGAGTCAAGAATTCTGGATTGCTTTTGATCGAAAGTGGTTTACTTTATGATTATAACTCCTTGATCTCTGTTGCATTTTATATTTGTATACGTTTTTCGCTGCGATCAACATTATTTGCCGGTCGACATTCGCCTTGACTTGTAACGCTTTCAACGCAGAATGAGTCGCTCCGATTTGCCGATTCGTGCACGAAGCTACGACGCGAATTCAGAATCTGCCAGCTCGCCAACAGAACAGGAAGGCTCGCTCAGTCCAACGAAGGCCGATCGAGCAGACTTCTCAAAAAGACACGAAATAGACCCTTCGAAAAAACACGTCTCCGTATCTGTTCCTGGCGTCGTGAAACCCAAGGCTCCTGTCAAAAAGAAGAAAGTCGCTCCGACGCTTGTAAGTTTTGTACAAACATTTATCGAAATTTAGTTGCGACCACAAAACTGTAATCACGTATTAATGTCAACTTTAATAGGACGTCAAAGACGAGATCTCGAAATGCCGCGAGAAGGGAGCTACGCGACTCGATTTGAGCAAGGCTGGGGTAAGTTTAAACACTTTAGTTTATATTTAGTTGAAAAGAACTATATTTAAAGCTAGCGAAGAGTTTGAAATGGCCAAACTTTGAGCAAACAACCGGCACATGTTTGTCAATTGAAATCGTGTTCTCGAATTTAATTTGCAAAATGTGGGCGAGCGGGCATTAGATTTTTGCAAAACATTTAATGCCAGCGACGAAATTTCGCTAGTTTCGGGTTGGAAGATACACTCTATGGTATTATTTTCAAGTTTCCGAACGAGCATTCGTTAGCTTTCTAAGCAATAACGTGTCTTATTTGCAGCGTGTTTGTTCATAATTTACAGTGCAAGATGTGTTTATTTTTTGTCTGACTTTTGAGGACTGGCAAAAGTTGCAAATAAATATTAATAATGCGATTAAATTAAACGATGGACCCGTCCACAAAAATAATATGGCCCGTGTTTATTTCGGTTTCGATATTACGTGTGTTTTCCCCTGGAAATTTACATCCCAATTCAAATATTTTTAGCTCTTTGTTATGATATATATATATTTCAAAGAAGTTTTGTGTTATTGAACTTTTCTTATACATATATAACACTGTGCATCCTCTGTGAAATGTTATGCTGTTTCTTGTACTGTTGAAATAGCAGAAAACCTAAGTCTTTCAAGGCGTATGATGATCCGGGATGTGTTATTTTTCGATATAATAATGATTTCTTTCTAATATAAAAGAGTTGAGATTGAGTGGGTGTGATATGAGGTTGTCTAGTGACAGCCCTAGCAAGGGCAGATTCTAGTTACCTCGCTATTAGTCATAGAGCCCCCCTCCTTGGAAAATTCGTCGGCCCCCATGGAACAATTCTTGCCAGTACATATTCTTGTAATATGTACTTGCCAAAAACATTCTCGTACATTTCTTGTAATGCAGA